AAAAACGCCATACTGCAGAAAGACTACACGCATGGGACACAACATTAGGTTCACCCGCACAATCTAATGAGATCCATTATATGAGTGGTATCAAAAATTCTGCCCCGCAACTTATTTGTACACAATGTCATAGAAATAGTCATTTGTATCTTTGCACAGGCAGCATTTTGATACAATTCCTGGAACGGATCAGTAAGTTCTCATCTAGGGACACCAAAACAGCGAGCACAAATTGCCACGACGAAAACCATAGAAGATTACAGCGACTGAGTGTTCGAGATGCCCCTTAGGAACCGCTACTACAAAACAACAGGGAGGATGAAAGGGGACAAAACGCAAAAATAATTCTGCGATATGACTTCAGAAAAGCCCCCCTTAGGAACCGCTACTACAAAACAACAGGGAGGATGAAAGGAGACAAATTCTGCGATCTGACTTCAGAAAAGCCTTTTTTTTTATTTATTTTTTTTATTGACTTTCATATAAACAGAAGAGATTCATGCAAAAAGACGAGCAGCACATCAACACAAGAGTGAAGGTTGGGAGCAAGTGCAAGGGAGGAGGAGGAAAAAAAAGGGAGTGACTTCATGCAACAAACTTGAAGCCTGTAACACATTTTGAAGAACTTAAAAACACATTCACATGAACAAAATGTGTTAAAAATTACCTGATGCTCCAATTACAGTGAAAGCAAAGAACAGATACATGAAACGAGTCCCCACAAACATAGCACAAAGCTCAATTCCCTTCATGAATATGATTTTGTGCGCATCGCACACACACAAAAACGTTTCTAAAAAGTGCACTGGTCTAGTCGCAAATAAGTTCCGCAAGTTTACAAGAATTCCAAAAATGAAACATTAGCTGCATCATTGGGATTCATTGCAGAATTGGGAAACTGCTTGTTTGATTACCACAAAGTGAAAGCTTGAGTGTGGGGGGGGGGGGAAGATAGACAATAGTTTCATGCAAACAGACGAGAGCATAGAAAGGTAAAAGTAAAAAGAAAACAAAACCAGAAAAATAAAAATAAAAAACAGGAGACACAACAGAAAGTCAACAAGAAGACCGAAGCGCCCTCGAAGCAGAAAAATGACCAAAGATGGCAACAAAGTGCATTGTGGACAATGAACCTACTTAGCGTACCTCGAGATGGTTTGTTGAATACTCCGTTCAAGTGCAAACGGCGAGGGCAAGTTTAAACGACAGTCTGATCAGGCCACCATTGGTATCTCATGGAATGTACACACGGGTTACATCATGAGCTACATGTGCACAATCTAACGAGATCCCAAACACGAGCCAAATACAAAAAATATTCTTCGCCGCGAAGGTGACTATAGGAACCACGCAGCAGCAAACTATTTCACTATCATGTAGCTTTTATAGAAATGTTGCCTATTGGACCGGAACAAATTAAGACTTGACCACTGTACCTAAATGAGAGTCCAGTGACTATATGATGCTCTGCTAAACTGTAGCGATTTAAATAAATACATAAAATAAATAAATAGACAAATAAATAAATAAATAAATAAATAAATAATTGCTTTTTTTTTTCTTTCTTTTTTCAAAGGACCTGTTTTGTATCTAGTGCCATGTCAGACCACAATTATCAATGTGACATTACTGGTCATGCGAGGTTCTAATTAGCATTGCACAGTCACAAGTGACTTGACAGTATCTACATCCCAACAGAAAAATGATATTAGCCAGTTAGTGCCTATTGAGCATGAGGCTCACTTGAAAGAAATATCCAAAGATATCTATAGTTTTCGGTTTTTCCTCCCCTCTTTTAAAGTCATAAGGCATATCGATAAACGCAACATTCAACAGGTCTTCAAACATCATTGCAGACTTTGTTCCGAGTATTGGTGCCAAAAGTCTCTGGTGTACTCAATCCCGTTCAATCTTAACATGGCACTTGTGATTCTCTGGGACCGTTTAAAAAGGAAACAAAACATCTTTTATTCATAAAGGCTGGGAAAATTAAACGTCTCCAGTACGCAACTACAAAAAGAATGGAAACTATAAAGAAAAAAAAAATACCTCGGCTCAGTAAAGGTTGTGAGTCTGCTTTTTTTTTTTTTTTTAGACTAGCCATTGATTATCTGAAAGCTCTCGTCATCGCTGAAGGTGTGGCAGGCGTCCTCGTCCGCTTCCTCATCCAGCTGGAGGCTACCGAAGGAAAACTTGTTTCTCGGTATGGCTGAAGTGGCCTCAACATGATCCCCAAACACAAGCTGGCTGTTGCCATCCCCCCTGTTGACCTCCACTTCAGACTCACTGGACTCTGAAGCACTTGTGTTACAGCCTTCGCTCATCTGAACCGCCCCCACGTGCGCGACTCCGGTCTGGCGTTTACGCCCCGGACCGGCCTTAGTTTTGCCTGGCGCTGAGAGCCCATTGGCTAGCATGCGGCGCTCTAGAGCAGCCATTCGCTCGGCATGAGACAGCACGGGTTGCGATTCTCGCCCGGGAAAGGAAGTCGCCGGATTTGGGTTGGCATGAGGGCGGTGCTTGGCTTTGTGGTGCTTCCGAGAGCGATGAGAGCGGATCACGGTGGCTTCGGCGCTCGCATAGCCATTTTGCTCAGCATGACTGATGGCTCCAGATGGACAGAAAGTGTCCATAACAGGACTGATGGGTGCAACCGGTGAGCCGGTTCCATGTTGGAACATGACCGGACTACTGCTGTGTTTAACTCTACTACGTGGCCTAAGCATGGCGGGAACGCCCATCTCAGGAATCATAACATGCGATGGTTCCGAAGAACTAGAATGCTCCCTATACTTCATACTACCCCGAAACTCCTCCTGGTGGACCTCCACAGGCCCATTCATGCTTCTCGAGTCTGAACCATGCTGAAACGCAACCTGCTGCATGTAGCTCTGAGTCCAACCAACCAGGTCCATGCCGACATTAGAATCTTTTTCAGAGCAGGTAGAAAAGCAGCCGCCTTGAAAAGCTGAACCTGTTGCCAGTTGTTCGAGGTGAGTCGGCCGAGTGGAGCCTCTCGTCTCCTCCTTCCCGGATGGCGATCTGTCCTCGTGGCCGCTGTTCTGGTGAGCCGGGCCCACCGGGGCTTCAGGTGTTTCTTGTGAACTCACCAGCGCCGACTCCTTCCACTGGTGCTGCGAAGGAGCGTCAACTCGGTCGCCGAGAGCACCGCTCTGGAATTGGAGAGTGGCTTCAATTATTGATGCTAAAAGCTTGTACAGTGAATCCCCGTTACATCCGGTTCATGATTTGCGCACTTTGGATTTTTAAGTGACAATAATAGACACAAGCAATTCCAAATTTAGAATTGTGTCCGAACGACGTTGTGCTGTAACATGTCTGGCAATACTGAGCTTTACTGGAAGAGGTCAAATATAACACTGGTCAAGATCAAATTTTCACCCGAGGTGGCTTAATGTGTTCCAAAATATATTTTTGATGGCGATTTTGGGGGGAGGGGGTACAAAACTCACTTCTTTGGGCACTTTTTGGTGGTGTGGAGAAGGCAAAGGCGACAGGCGGCTATTGTGCTGGACTCGACTGTGTTTCCTAGCAGACAGGATGTCGAAGGTCAGTGTTAAAAGCGACGCTCTCGCCTGAATCAAACATGTCCGACGCTTTTCACCTCTCGAACGGGAGCTTTTTAAACTCGGACTCCCTCACGAAGTCAATCACCTGCTTCTGCGTGCGGCCGCTGCGGAGACAAGCAGAGGCACTGAGGGAGGCCATTCGGAAGGGGAGTCGAATTCACAGGTGTTGAAACCATTCCGAGGCAAAAGAAAAAAACAGCCCAGGAACGTGAGCTTTTGTTACCTGAATCTGAAAGAGGAGCCTCGTGTGAACAGCACAGGTTTGGGCTTGGGTTTGGGTTCCTCAAAGAGACGGAAAAAAGCGTGGTACTCCACGCAGATCTTCCAGAAGACCTTACAACAGTCTCTGTTGGCCATGAGAAACTCCAGAGTGTCTTGATACGAACTCTGCGATACACACACACA